ATAGTCTCCATATTCCTCAGATATCGATCCAATTAATAATCTGTGGAACAAACACGTCTGATCCATGTAGGCCCCCAACTTACAGGATCTGTTGCTAAAATTTGCAGATACCACAAAACACCTTTAAGAGTCTAGTGCAGTCCGCGCCTCGATGGGATGGGCAAAAGGGGATGAATACAATATTAATCAGGAGGGCATAATGCTGGGTCTGATCAGCGTACATGTCTTTGGATTGAGCTTGGTCACACTGGGATCACTGGTTCTGGGTGGGTTTTGCTTGTCATCCCTGTGTCTGCATTGATTATCCCTGGGCACGAGGGTGTACCTCGTCCTCTGCCAGCTGGGATAGACGATTAAGAAAATGGATACATAGATGCACTGCAACAAGATGTTATTCATTGAAGTAGTTTTAATGTTGCTAAGATATCATCTCACTTAAACTCTGGTGGCATGTATCCATCTTTCAAGGTCTTGAGATATTTGTCCCTGAGATTTTTGCCCCGTTTAACACAAATGAGGTGAATGTGAGCACCGCAGAATAAATTCCAGTCTTAAGAAAACACTTCAGACAATTCAGCTTTGACATCTCTTTCTACAAGTGGTGGAGAATACAGACGAGATGAATAATAATGTGGAGTTTGAGCTACAGAATTTCCTCCTTTTACCCTCACTAAGAGCTGCAGTCTGAATGTAGACTGGCTAATTTGTTTTCATAGGGATGAGGATTATCGCAATAATCCAATGTCAGTCATTTTTATCTTCAGCATTTAGTTAAAACCTGTACAGTCTCACTTATGAACGAAGCATGTTGAAGATGGAGCTGCCAGGATGAAGGAAAAGGGGAAGGTTCATGGATGTGGTGAAGGTGGACATGCAGGGGGTTGATGTGACAGAGGAGGATGCTGGGAGATTGGGGGGGGTCTCCTGTGGCAACCCTTACAGGGGTCATCTGAAGAAGAAGAAGAAGAAGAGTTGCAATTGTTCATCCTGTCCAGACAAAAGCTAAGCTCCTAACTCTGACGTTCCCCAGATAATTCTTGTCCAGTCCTCGTGGGACTCTCTCTCCTTGTTTTGTGGATTTGTGTCATTGTGTTTGTCTAATTAAAACAAATTGCTTGATCCATGCTTAAGAAATATGTGCCACTACTCGTTTGTATATCAGTCTTTCAGCAACAATGTGTGTTTCTGCTCTGTCGGTGTGACTGTATCTTCACTATTTAAATACTCTGCTTCCTCTTACACTCAATCCCGCTCTTGATCCCTTAATTGTCTTCCTGTCATCCTCCTCCTTGTCGTGCTTTAAATTGTCTAAATTAGAAGCATTTGGCTTCACCCTTAAATGGGGAAAGTGGTGTCTGTGATCTGTGCTTGTGTGTGTGCGTGTCTTCCTCTGCTTTCTAGCTAATCCAGAGGCAGTTTAGAGACAGTCAGAGCGACGTCCCTGATTGAACACTTCTCAATCAGAAGTGAGACCAGCAGAAAATCCATGGCCATCCTGGCATTTATATAAAAACACTACGAGTCACGTCCTCTGTCTCACTATCAGTCATCATCACTTCCACTCAGTAACCCTTTGTGTGCGGGCGGAGTGTCAGCTGCACTATCTGCAGGTGGAACATAAGATTTATATAAAAGGCAAGAAAAATTTTAGGGGTGTTTTGGAAGTTACCAAAGTAATCATCAGAAAAGCAGCTGCTCAGACCCTGCATGCCCACAGAGGCGCTTTCAGTTCTGCTCAATGCTGAGACCACCGCTGAGGTTCAAAGCTGTGCTGGAAAAAAGTGCGAAGTTACCAAACGCCATGAATTTCCACCAATAATGCAGTGATGCGCAGTCGGTGTGATAAAACAGGCCGTCATCACCTCTTAAAATCTTCATGCAGTGTCGATGTTTGAGCCTACGGTCTTTAGAAAATCTGGAGTCTAATCAAAATCATGTCATCAGACGTTTGTAATTTAGGGATGTTTAAAAATTATTGTTCAGGTTTATGTCTTTACATTTTCTCTCCTCTTCTGGAAAACTGTAAAAAGGACGAATGCTCAGTGTAACAAAAAGCTGATCCGGTCAGACAAAAGTGGGTTGCGGCTGTGTTGCTGAGCTTTATGTTGAATTTGAATTGTTTGCAAAGAGGTCAAAGAGTGCTTTCAGTCCTTTGTGACTACGGGTGATAAGTTAATCTGTTCTGAAGGCAAATGCTGGCAGGACTCTTAAAAAGCCTTTGACAGTTCTCACAAATCTTTATACCAAAATCATAAAAGCACGAGCAGGTGAATTGGTTCAGATATGTTTTTCCAGACAAGGTCGAGACTTTTCCTGGTGTATTAATGTAGTTTTTTTTTTTGCCCTCTCTTTTTTCATGACAGCAGCAAAACCACAGATATAATTCATAACATTAATAGAACTACTCTCCTGAGGTGCGCCTGCCCATTACTTACTCAGACCTTTTTGTTTTCGTGGTCTTTAGCTCCATCACTACGAATTTCTGAAAGAACTACTTTTAACAACTGGTAAATGTAAAACTGTAGAAAAGTAGCTCGATATCAATAGATTATGTCCAAACCTATTAACATGAAGCTATTTTTGGTCTGACTCAGTTTACAGTTAGGTCATGTGGTGTATGTTAATCCTGATTTTTGATTCATAGTTCGTTGGATTGATTAAATATTCAACTTGAGATTTTAGGGGGCAGGAAACAAACAGGAAGTCAGCCTATTGTCTCCACCAACTTAAAGCAAACTGACTCAGCTAGCTGGTAACTTCTCTCTGGTGCTGGTGGGCAGGAAGAGTATAGCTGAGCGACAGCTCCCTGCTGTGGTGGTAAACAAGGCTGGTAAGAAGAAGCTAAAATGCTTGTCAAGCTGTTAGAAACTGCATTCGAGTGACAATCGAGATCATTATCTTCTTAATGGTGCTCTAGAATTTGAGCAACAGGTACTAATGAACACGCTCAAATACACGTTTAAGCACACAAAGAGAAAATAGAAGCAAGGCAGGATCTGTGCTTGGCCACAGTAGAGAGTCTCTTTCAGCCAAGAACATCATTATTTCATTTTTATAATGTCAAAGGGTTCCTGGCTGTTCCTTTCTGCCATTTACATAAAAGAATATAAACATCAAATTAAATGTAATCAACATGGAAGGAAAGAAAGTGTTGGCTTAAAGGCAGCAAAGAAGCAAAATGGACAGAAAGGACAACGACGCGTTCCTGCTGAAGGTCAGGAGGCCAAAGCATCAACCCACACATCCACCTTTGAATACCCTCCACTGCGCTCCTCCTACGAGACTCATGCATATGTGCACATCCACATGAGAAACAGCCAGCCGGTCATTACGGTGCTACACGCATACAGTATATACTGTACAGAGAGCTTGCAGTGCGCACAGCGTTCTCAGCATTCTTCAGTTTTCTTTGGTGAATTCATTTCAGGAAAAGTTAAAGTCACAAATGTTGATGTTCTTTAGTCTTAAACATTTAATTGAAAGAACAAAAAAAGTAACCTTCAATCTGCACTTACTAAACATTAATGACGAGTTTTCTGCTGATCAGTTAAGTCAGAAACTGACATCTCTGATCTCCAAAGGTAACTCCAGACTTTTTAGATGCTTCTTTTCCATTGAAGCTTCAGGTCTGCAGGCCTCTTCAGATTTTCTTCAAGGACCATTTTCATTCTTATTTCAGCTCTGATGCCACCATTCATTAAATTTTATTAGATTCAGTTCAAGAAAAAAACCTTCACAAGCAGCTGCTCAAAGAAAGGTGCTTTTGGGTTTAAGGATTTGCACAACTAGTAAACTAGACTATTAAAATGTTTGAACCAGAAATATTGGTCTTTAAACCCAGGGACTGAACTAATGCATGAATGCTGTTAACTGTTGGGTCGCACATAACCACTCCACCACAGCAGTGAGCAACCACAGGCTGCGCAGGTGTGCAGGCTTTAACCTGCAGGGAAATGAGGCACTGCTAGCACTGCTAACTTTAGCCTCAACTGACATTGTGTTTGTGTTCATAAATGGCTCAAACGGCCACATATTTCGGTGAGATTTGTCAAAGAATATGATTTTCAGCTTTGAAATGCACATATGAAATTTGCACAGATAATGCAAACAATAATTATCTGTTCAATTTGGGAACTTCGTACTTTTTACACTATTTAATTCGTCTACTTTTCCTTATGTAAACGAGCAGTAAATTTCTCTTGGAACATCTCGAGCTCATATTTAGGACTCTTGCTGTGAGGTGACAGTGCTAACCACTTAACACAGATAATAAGCGCTGAGAGGTTTGTCTTACTTCTTATGGCTGCCGTCTGCCTAGTTTACCATAAAAGCCTAATTGGTGAAGTTCCACTGCAGTGGGTGTCGTTCCCTGGTCCTTCCATCGCTGCACTGAAACTTTTAAATGTCTTTCTGAGTGATACATGCACAGCGGTGTTGATCTGTCTGCCACAATAGCACTGCAGTCAATGTGATGTTTATCTGGAGAATTATTAATGCAACCAGGATGTACCCGACCACAGTTTGCAGGGGCACAGCAAAAGATTTGAATACACACACATTTTCATGCACGCACACAACAAACTAAGTTGTATTAACACGTTAACACGCCACAGCTTTACAAAGCTCGTCCTTGGCGATGTAGAGTTTTCCGTAGCACTGTAACTGCACATCATTTGGCATCTTTTTCTAATTTAATTCATCCGTCTCTGAAAGAAACTTTTAAATGCCATCAGTAGTATGTTCCAATTATTGCAGCAGCTCAAAAGGCAAAAACCTGTGCAGTGAATAACAACAGGAGACCATAAAATAAAGTAAAATTCAATCAAACTTTTCTGATGACTCGATGTTTGTGTGGATAGCCTAAAAACTTTTTCCATCTCTCTGTTGCTTTAAGTTCTAAACATATACTGTATTATATTAGCCTAGTCATGCAATATACTATGAAAATGTTTAGAAAGGTGACTGATTTGTCTGTCTCGTTTCTCTGTGTTTGTCCACAGCACAAAGACACCCAAACAGGCAGTATTTGCTGGAAGCATGCAGCTCCTGGCGGGTATCAAGCTGTGCACAGGCAGAGTTCTCACCAACCACCCCCATTATGAAGATAAAGACCTGCGGGAGCGGACCAGACAGGTACTGTAGGCTGCAATAAAACGAAACTGCCAGAGGGGCTGCAAGATAACACGAACACAATAAATGGAAAATCTGAAGTAAATTGATGGTAATTACAGTGTCAGCTTCATAACACCGAGTCAGGTGGATTTGAATGCCAATTAGCTGCTTGGATTCGCTTTAAGAATAATCACAGCTGTAATATTTGTGTTTTGAAAGAGGTGTGAGATCTGACAAAGCTTTACGAGCCAGTGATATCTTTTAAAGCGGAATTCAGTTCACTTCAGTGGATATTCATCAGTTCACAACGGCAATTTTCTCAAAATGTCTTATGTTGTAAAGATTCTACCTGGAGTCTTTGTTTTTATTCATTTTCACAATTAAACAGAATGGTCGAGAAAAAGAAAAAACCCACTTCTTCCACCTCACACGATCAAGTCTGTTTCAGAGGCTAAATAACGGTGCGATTTCTCCCACCTTTTCTCTCCCACTTTTGTTTTGAAGTCTTATGCATATGTCAGCTCTTCCCCAGTGTGTAGATTGTTAACACTTGTAATAACCAAGTTATTGTGTGGCGATGCTTCTAGAGCCAACGCTTAGTCATGGCTTTTTTGTTCGCTGCCAAGAGGACCTTTAAAAGATATTTGTCTGTGTGATGTAATTCATCTGGAAAGCGTCCAGGGTAAAGACATGTAAAGTTAGAAAATGCAGAAATGTGACCGTGATCTGCCGTCTTTTCTCCATCTTCTCTCCAGCACACCGGTTGAGTTCCAGTTAATTTAGATTTAAGAGTAATAAAGAAGCTCCTCCACGTCCAGTTATTACTTGTTACTTAGGTATCACAAAGGTATCACATGCTCTGTGTTATCCTTGTTCAAAGAAATGATAGTTGTTTTGTTTTTTAACCTTTGGGTCTTTCTGGAATTATATACATCAATACATATCTGAATATTATCTGACAGTTCTTGTTCTTACAAATATAATCACAGATTTGTAAGTATCTGTGAAAGTCCTGCTCATATAGCTGAGTTTGTGTGTTAGTGTTGTTACTGCGTGGCTTCCCAGAGACATGGGTCACGTTAGTACACAAACGCTGTTTGTGCGAAACTGGTGAAATATTCACATCTCGCCCAATGTCAACGCACCTCGACCCTGAAATGGATACACAGTTAAGAAAATGGATGAGTGACAACTTTGGGTCATCTGTAATGGAATGTATAATAATAATGTAGACTTTATTAATCCCTGTAGGGAAATTACTCCTCTGCATTTAACCCGTTCACTCAGTGAAGCAATGGACAGCCACCAATCAGTCGCTTGGGGAGCAGTGTGTACGGACAGTACCTTGCTCAGGGGTACCTCAGGATAGCCGTTCAGTGGATTCAAACCCCCGACCTTCCAATCAAGGGGTGACCACTCTACCTGCTGAGCTATCCCTACCCTTGTTCATTGAAACGGTGCACTAGGCCCATTGTGGGTAGGTAAGGGGAAAAAACGAGGAGTTAAAACTCCAGTTTAAAATTTATATGTACAATTAGAAAAACAGTTTTTTGTTTCTGTCATGGAACATAATACAGGGCTCTAGAGTGCGACCAATTTGGTCGCAAATACGACCAAATTTTTCAGTGGTGCGACTAAAAAAAAATATTTGGTTGCACCTGTGCGACCAACTGTTCGGGTAGCAAAAAAAAAAAAAAAAAAATCTGCAACCTTCCCTGTGGTCAACAACAGACACACATTATGCCCCTATCGTGGACTAAACCAATCAGAGATAGTAAGGGGCGGGACCTCTCTGATTGGCCGTGGTCCAGTTGAAAGTGCAGGTGGAAGTGGGAGGTGAGTAGCTTGAATAAAGCGATATCAATTCATTAAATCCTGAATCGACTTTTAAATATAACTGTGTTTTGCCAGAAACGCCAGATTCTCAGATTAAAGCTCACAAAACCATTTCAACAACAACCAAACAGCAAATGAGAGCAGGTACACGGACTCCACACAAAGACGTAAACACAGACCCGACGCATCAGAATCAGCTTTGTCTTTCTCGGCTTTCTCACCCGACGGCCCGTAGACGGACACGCTGTCGGAGCTCAGCGATCCTGATGCGTCCGGTCCGCTGTGATTACGTCTTTTTGCGCTGATTCTGAGCTGCAGGTTTTGTCTCTCCAACCAAAATTCACCGAGCCAGCAGCAAAAGAAGCAGCAAACTGCGCTTCACATTTGATCAATGTCGTCATGAATTTTGCTGTTTTGCTTCCACGACTATTAAAATCACACTTCATGCACAGCTAGCTCTCTCTTCTCTCTCTGTACTTCAAGAACAGTTTCCGTCTCCAATCTCTGTTTTCTGTATTATTCATTCGCTTATTACCCACCAGTCTACCGTTGTTTACAGCGCTGTGGCTGCTGTCTTTTTCTTTTCTTCACTTAAATGACCTCGGACAAGAAAGCCTATTTTTTCTGTTATTCAATACTGAAGAAATTTAAACTTTATATGCAGAACATTGTAGAATATTTTTAAGGTTATCTGCTATAAAAAGCCAGACCAGGAAAATCTCCTTCATGTTTTTCTGTGTTTTATTCTCAGTTACTTTCACACAAAGGCATCTGCTGTGATGTTCACAATTCTGATGAAGTCAGTACTGATAAATGATCAGAATTATAATATTTCTGACTGTCTGAGGCTAAGTTGAATCGAATCGGGACTTTGAAAACCGGAATCGAATGGATTATAGAAATCAGTGATGATACCCAGCCCTAGTGAGCAGCCTAGGCACGACAGAAGTGGATGTAGCTGTAATAGGAAAAGAACTATTGCTAACTTTTCTGTTAAGTTAAGGCCTGATCCTTCTGAAATTCATAGCCAGTGCTCTGACACGGTGTCATCAATCTTTGAATGCTGAAAAAGCACAGTGTATCCAGAAAAACACATTATATTATATAAATTATTATAAAATTTGTGTGCGCCTAACTTTTTAAAGTTAGGCGTACCGGTACGCCCATGGCAAAAAGTTAGTCTAGAGCCCTGTAATAGCTTTGTGTTGAGGGTAGGGCTGTGCGATATGACCGAAATCTCATATCCCGATATAAGAATTCTATCATCACGATAACGATATAAATCACAAAAATGTAACATTTTCTGTAAATTCTGTGAATCTCGGGCAGCTCGTCATGTAGCTGGAGTCGAGTGTTGCGATGCATGAAACGATACATTTTTAGACATAAGTTGTAACGGCCGCCGTTTTCTTTGTGAGTATTTATTACACGGCGTGCTGCGGGGAAAAGCCTGTTCTAACGTTTGAGTCTAAGGTTTATTTTTTAGCACCTGGCGGCTCTTTTTTACTTCTCATCCGTAAATAATCTGCTCTTTCACGTGATTCAGTTTATTTTGAAAAGTCTCAACAGGATCTTGAGCTTTATTGTGAAAGGTTTATGTGGAACATAAACAAGCGGACACGCGATGCTGTTACCGTCGTTGTTGCTAACCACAACGCATAAAAACAGGCGCTTGTCCGTCTGTAGTGTGGTTATATTAAATATAAGAGAAAGAGAGAACTTTAAGAAATTAATATAGCCACTACAGTGACCATCAAAACGATGAAAAAATATTGCCGTAAACAGTTTATTTTGCGACACCACGAAACAAACGATAGCGTAAAATGAAACGATAGACGTTTTTATATCGTCATCCGATATATATGGTTATATCGAACAGCCCTAGTTGCTGGGTAGAACCAACCTGCTCACACTCAGATGCTGGACTGCTTTCACATCAGTCAGGAAGGGCTGCTGTGCAGATGCATCTATTGCTTTGTAGTTCTCAGTGCACAAATGCTCAACTAACCCCAGTCAGTGTGGATTCCTTTTTTTCTTTGCTTCTTGTAAACGTGCAAAGTGAAACAATTTAATTCTATAATGAAAACCCCCTAAAACCCATTACCCCTCCATTACCCCTCTATTTTTTTTTCTAGCATTTTTTTTTGTCCCTCACTTTTTTGGGGGGTCCAAAATGGCATTAATACACCATTTGCGTGAATGTGTGCGTGAATGGGTGGATGACTGGATATGTAAAGTGCTTTGGGGTCCTTAGGGACTAGTAAAGCGCTATATAAATATACAAATACAGGCCATTTACCATTTAAAGTTATTTTCAAACACTAGAAAAAATATTGAAAACCTCATTGTGTGCAACCTTCCTTATCTGCTTTTAAATCACGTCTTAAAACATGTCTATTTACCTTTCAGCACAGCAGGACTGCCTCTTAATATGCTTGTTATTAATTGTATTTAATTTTAAGATATTCTAATGTAATTTAAGCTGTTTTCTCTTTACTTTGTATTTGTAGCACTTTGGCCAACATTGTAAAGTGCGTTATAAATAAAGATGCTATGCTATATATTTTTCAGTTTTGGTAATTTGCATTTTGAATTATGTTCTTTAAAAATCCAAAAAATGAACAGTGAAACTGGAAATGAAGTGAACTGAGACATGTTTGTGTTACCAGCCACAGTCCACAGTTAGACTAAAGCCACAGTAACTGAGTGCGAGTGTAGCTGCACACCATTTATTGCACTTTCCTTGTTTTGATTCAATTTTATTTAAGTAATATTTAACCTTTATACATTATTTTGGTGCCGCAGTCAGTGTCAGAATTTTCAGGCTATTTCCAGATCTCGTGGTTGCGTTTTTCCCGCCCTCCTCTACACAGTGAAATCTGTTTTGTACAACATCCCCACCCATCCATCTCACTCAGCTCTGTGCTAATGTCTTGCGTGAGAGACCAGGGAATTGTCTGTAGATGGGGGCCATTGACCTGCAGTGATTGTCTGAATGAATATGGGATCAGAAGATGCACTGAGTACATTGTGCATCCATTACAGTGGGATGAATGGTAACGTAGGAAAAATGGAGCCTAAAAGTGCTGTGTTCCAGTAAAGGAGAGATGAATGGTGGCGCATGTACTGAGTGCATATTAGTATTGTAATGTATGTGAGGAATGCTGCGGAGGCATTGTTTTCTT